TCAGCTGCCTCCGGTTTTAAGTCTTGGGCAGACGCCAGGCAGGGAGGAGGCAGCCCGGCGTGCTGGGATTGGCTGACTCAGCCAAACCCAGCCTCTCCCCAGTTGAGAGGTCAAGCCAGGGATAAAGACCTCCCAGGAGGAGGGCAGAGGAAGTTGTGTGGGACTAGTTGCTCCAGACAGAAGGTGCCAGGCTGGGCGGCCAGAGAGGATTTGGTCTGGGGCTGGGAGGGACACTGCCCAAGGCTGGGTGGCTCCAGGGAGAGAGCTGGCCCGGGGTGGTTGAGGGGACGGTGGTTTCCTTGTAACCGGAGCCCCTGGCAACCTCCTGCTGATTCAGCTGGGGCTGAATTCGTCTCCTTTTCATTCGTCTCCTTTTCCTTCTTTATCTCTCTGTCTCTGTCTCTCTCCCTTGTCCTCTGGATTTCCCTGGGTGTCCCTCCCCTCTCTGGGTCCCTGTCTGCCCTTCTCTAAGCTCTTCTTGTCCCATCCTCGCCCTCCCTGCCTCTGCCCCTCACTCTCTCCTTCCTCTCCTGCTATCTGTCTCTGCCTCACCCTCCCCACCCGCCCCTGTCCTCACCACCATCCTGTCTGCCCCGCAGGATGCTGCAGATGAGCCTGTCCTGGCTGGGTCTCGGGCCGGTGGCAGCCTCCCTGTGGCTGCTGCTGCTGCTGCTGGCCGTGGTCTCCTGGCTCCTGGCCCGCGTCCTGGCCTGGACCTATGTCTTCTATGACAATGCTCGCCGCCTCCGGTGTTTCCCGCAGCCCCCAAAACGGAACTGGTTTTGGGGTCACCTGGATCTGGTGAGTGTGTGCCACAGGACAGGTCTCAGGGCTCAGGTGGATGGATTTCCGGAGGAGCTGGAAATCGGAGCTGGGGGTCTGGGGTTGGACTGGGGTCTAGGGCAGCAGAGAAGCAAGGGAGACCTCCTGCCTCACTCCCCAGGCAGGTCCAACCCTCTCCTCTTGGTCCGCTCCACGCCCCAGCGCCTTGCTGTTCTTGCCCTTCCTTACCCCGAGACTGTTTTGGATCATGTTTCTGCCTATCTCCCCACATTAGTGCACATCTGAGGGGCTCTTGGGTGGGCCTCTGGGGGTCCCCTGATGCCCCCGTGTTCTTTACTGCCAGTCTTGAGGCCTCCTCAGGGCCACTGTCTGAGGTCCGTTCCCTGCCTGTTTCATTTCTGTTGACCTCAGGCCAGTGTTTGCTCCTCTTTGGTTTTTCCACTCCCCCCCCAGGAACTGACCATGACCTCCACCCTGTCTTACCTTGATGGGGCACAGCTGGGCTGGAGAAGACATGTGGGCAGTCCCTCCTCCTCCTCCTCTTTCTCAGGTACCTTCTTTTTCTTATTTTGTCTTCCACCCTCAAGGTACATCAGTGGGCTACAGTGTCCAACTTGGATAAAAGTGGACCGCTCCCCGTTTCAGAAGGAATCACTCTGGCCTCTGCCCTAATGGCCAAACCTCCTGGGAGGGGGCTCCTGGCCCACCTTCCTAGCCTCATTCCAGAGGCCCTTCCTCTGTGCTGTGTCAGTTCCCTATTGCCACAATCACACTTTGGACTTTGTCATCACCTGTAAAGTCACCACCTCCAAAGCCATTGATCTGGAGGTTGCATTCTTTGACCACAACCCTACTTCCTTCCAGTTTCTTTTTCCCATCTTCTCCCATCCTAGACCCTGCCAAGATGTCTAGTTAACCTCTACACCCAAGTCCAACAGCTTCCTTTTGCTCTTACTTCTTTGGACACAAATAGCTTAGATTCTCATCCTTTGTCCATGGGCTGAAGTCTCTTGGCAACTGGGCTTTCCTTCATGGCTCTTTGGAAAACCTTTGCCTTGTGTGAGCTCAACCCACCACATCCTCTGATCTCTTTTCCATGATGATGCTAGAGAAGTCACAAAACAAGACAGAGGGGTGACATGTAAATCCCCAACTGCCCATTTCCAATGGGCCTCATTCTGCACAAAACCTCCAGTCTGCTCGCTCTGCCATCTCCTTGTGCACAGAGTTGTTTGCATTCTTTGCCTCCATTTCTCTGCTTGCTCTAACCTGCTCCAGTCTGGTCTCCACCTCCATCATGCTCCTGCCATATGGCTGTGACCTCTAGGTCTCTAAATCCCACCGACTCCCTCTGGCCCCATCTTGTCCACCTCCCAGCAGTTCTCTGAGCTTGTGGACCACCCTGTCCTCCTGGAACCTCCTTTTCCTCTTGATTCCAAGACACCACCCTCCCCTGGTCTCCCCTCTACCTCCCCATGGTCCCTCTGTCTCCACTTGGCTCCTTCTTCACCCATGTGGGGCACCACCAGCATCCTAACCCCTTCTCCTTCTCTTTCTCCTGAGGCCACCTTCTTACCCAGGGCTCTAACTCGTAAGTGGACCATGAGTTCACATCTCTCCTGAGCCCAAGGTCATGTGTCCAGCTCCTTCCTTCTCTCCTCATATAACAGTCTCATAAACACCTCATTCCTTGGTCAGAATCTGAACTCGTGGCTCCCTCCCCAATTCTGTCCCCACCCTTAGTCTAGTCTATCCTTCCGGTTGCCCACATCCCATAGTCTGGGGTCTCCAAACCTGCCTCTTTCACCTGTGCATCTGGCCCTAATGCACTGCCTCCACAATCTCTCCTCCATCTGTCCCCTCTCTGCATCTCCTGCCACCCCTGGCCCCATCCAGGAAGCCTCTCCCAGCCTGCTCTCTGGTCTCATCATTGCTACCATTGTCCTCTCTCATCCACTCTCTCTTTAGCCATGGAGATATTTGTTTGAAGTTTAGATCATGCCACTTCTGGGCTGAAAACTCTTCAATACCTGCCTATTGCTCTGAAGATAAAGACTAAATGTTTCCTGGCCAGGCCCTGTGGTCCTCCTCAGCCCTGTGCATGTCACGGACACTCTGAGTTCCTGCTTTATCTCCTCAAAGAGCAAGCCCTTCCCACCGCAGGGCTTTTGCTTGTGCTGCTCTTTGGCGTGGAAGCACTTCTCTTCCTGCAGTTACCCAATGAATTGCTCCTTATCCTCCCACTTTCAGCTCAAATGTAACGACCTTCTACAGGCCTCCCTTGACCCCCACAGACCTTGACCTCTGACTTGGCCTTGCTCATATTTACCTAGTGAATTGTCCAATTATTTGTGTATTTTCCATCTCTCCCACTAGATGGTAGATCTGGAGGGCAGACATAATACCTACAGTGGCCCAGACCAGAAGCTAACATACAGCAGGCCCTTAATAAATGTTTGATGATATTGTGCTGGAAGCCTGGGTAACTTGCCATCACCTCCCTTTTTACCCAAGGCCAAAGGCGTAAGCATCCAGCTTCTGTCCTCTTCTCCCCCAGATCAGCTCATTACAGAACAGGATGTCCCAAGGTCATCGTGGAGGTTGCCTGAGATTATGGGTCTTGGAATGTTCTCAGCAAGCCCTGGAGGCAGCAGGAATGTTATAAAGTTCCTGCATTTCTGACTCCCCCTCCATAGGCTCAGCCATGGAGGCTGGACTTGCTCACTCGTCTCTCCTTGAGTCTCTCTTCCTGTGTGACCTTGGTTGAGTCACTCTCCCTCTCTGGACCAGTCTTTTCAAGTACCTCATGGTCCTCAGGGAGCAGGGAGCAGGTCATAATGGTGAAAATGACTTATATTTACCTGCCTGGAGTACCTGGTGGTATTTGTCAGGCTTGGATGGGGCATCCCGAGGGGTTGGGGAAGATGCCTCACTAGTCGGTGACCCACCTGCCTTCCCCTTTTAGAGGATGTGGCCTCTGTTTCTTCATTTGTAAATGGCATGATTGATGGGAGTGTCTACAGGTTCAGGAGCAATAGATAGATAGCTAGGATGTATGGTGAGGAATAGATGGAGAGGATGTCCTAGATAGACGGATAGACAGACAGACAGATAGGATGCACTATGCACAGAGCCTGGCCAGCAGAAGGGGTTCATAGGTGGGAGCTGCTGTCCTGATTGGCAGGCAGAGTTCACATCTGTCCTTTGGGGTCTACCAGGGCTGGAAAGTCCTAGGATTGCAGACCCTATACTATGCAAGGAACTGGAGGCCATGTGGACCAGCCAGAACATGAAAGGATGTGGGACCAAAACCCAAGGACAAGTCCTGAGGGCACCCTACTACCCACAAACCTTCCCCATGGGGATCTCCTTCTGTGGTCGCCCCTTAGACTGGACCCACTCCCAGGATGAAAAAATTCTGTCTTCTTGAGCCAAGGTCAGCCTCCCTGTGGGCAGAGAGCATCTCTTCTTCCTGCAGTGGCTGCAGGGGGACCTGCTGTGGCTGCTTTTGGGGAGTGATGGTCCTTGCAGGGCTTGAGGGACTTAATTCAACATGGCTACCTGCCCCCAGGGACTTATGATCTGGCTGGGACCCATCGTCTTCCTCACCATTTTCTACCACCCTGGTCTTGCCTGGTCTGTCACCAACACCACAGGTTCCCACATGTGCATGTGGCGGTGGGTGCCATTGCAGCATCCAAGGGTCGTGAGCCCCTCAACTGCCAAGCTTTGGTGCAGCCCCTGTAGGTCCAAAGGCCCCTCCTGCTCTTGGGCACCCTTGGTCATCTTTTTCTTTCTTTCATTTATTTGTCAACCCCTTTCTAGTGTTCTGGACACTGCCTGGGGGTCCTTGGGGAGACTCAGCCCAGGCTCTTCCCTGGAGGAAGTCCCACTCTTGGGCACACAGAATTAGAGACACTCCTAATCCTGTGTGGTCAGGGTGGGTCTGACAGAGAGACAGGGTCCAGGGGAGCCCAGAGAGGAGGCAAGTCTTCTACTGTTGGGAAGGCCGGAGGCTTCTTGGAGGAAGAGTTGTTGGGAGAGAGTCTGGGATCATTAGTAAGCATTTTTTAAGCAAAGCAAAGAAAGTGTATTCTGTGGAGAGGATACTCACATTCAAAGCCTGGAGGTGAGAAGTGAGCACCTGGCTTTGAACCACAGGAAGGAGCTCAGTGCTGCTAGAGTGCTGCAGGGGAAGATAAGGCAGAGAGGAGTAGGGTGAGCAGGACTTCGAGACCAGGTAAAGGCAGGGGATTGATTCTGAGAATGATGGAGCGCCATGGGAGGTGTGGAGGTGAGAACAGAGACGGGGAGTTGGAGAGACAGAAATAGGGGCAGAGAAAGAGAGACATACAGAGAAAGAGTGAAGGAGACAGAAAGGACACATAGAGACATCAATGGAGCAAAAGAGACATATATATATACACACACACACACATATATATATATATGTGTATATATACACATAGATACAAACACATCTATCTGTTTATCTGTTTATCTACCTACCTATCTATCCGTTTCCATCCATCCACTCATCATCTATCTACACATCATCTAATCATTTCTCCATCCATCCATCCATCCATTCTCTCTATCTCTATTTCTATCCATTTCCATCCATCTATCATCTCCCCACCCATCATCTAATCATTTCTCCATCCATCCACCCGTTATCTACCCATCTTTCTATCTAACCATTTTCCATCCACCCATCATTTATCTGTCCACTTATCATCTATCTACATCTATCATGTCTATCCATCCATCCACCTATCATCTACCTTTTTATTCACCCATTATCTATCTATCTATCTATCTATCTATCTATCTATCTATCTATCTATCTATACAGAGAGATGAAGAGAGTGAGGGGAAGGGAGAAGCACACAGATAGACATGGAAAAGTTGGCGAGAAGTACAGATCTTTGATAACCCAGGCAGGAGGGGAGATGGGGGATAGTGAGTGTGGTGGGTATGGGATGCAGTGGGCAGTTGTAGTTCCTGAGGCCCCCTGCCAGGCCTGGTCTCATCCGACCCATCTCCAGGCAAAGAGCAATGAGGAGGGCTTGCGACTGATTGAAGATCTGGGCCACTACTTCCGCGACATCCACCTCTGGTGGATGGGGCCCTTCTGTCCCATCCTGCGACTTGTCCACCCTAACTTTGTTGCTGCTCTGCTCCAGGCCCCAGGTATCTCTCCCAGGAGCCCCAAACCCCAGCTTCTCTCCTTCCCCTGCTCCCAGCCCTTCCCACTCCTGAACAGACCAGGTTGAGCAGGGGAATGGGCAGCATTGACAGAGACCTGCTGGATGATCCTGGGCAGGCCTCTGGTTCTCTCTTGTTGCCAAAGTCTCTTTAAGTTTTGAGTAGTGGAAACTCACACTGTTTAGAAAGGGAATCTATTGATTGAAAAGCTCAGGGAGGGTTGTCTTCAGGCATGGCTGGATCCAGGTTTTAATAATGGTGTCTCAAGGCCATGTAGCATACTAAAGCTTCCCTCTTAGCTCTGTATGTTCTCTAGCTGCCTCTAGCTGCCTCTGATGGGAGGGACCCTAAGCTAGAAGGTGATTTTGGGGAGGGATGTGGCCAGAGTATTGTGGGAGAATACCACCAGACCCCAGGTTTCTAACTGTATCTAGTTGGGTGGAGCTCAGCATCTTAGGGGTACAGCATCCTCTGGTCTCTTTAAGGACAGAGGAGTCTGTTGAGCCCCAACACCTAATGCCAAGTGTAGGGTGGAGGAGGGTACTGAGGCTGTCTATGTCACACCTGGGCCATCTCTGGGACATTAATGGAACTGCATTGAAGTCCTGTCTGGGGCCCATCTGAGGGACATGTGGGACATGCTGAGGTGTCTCAGGCCCATGTCAGAGCTGTGCCATGTCAGGGCATGTCATGCATGTTGCTTCATGTTACATTTTAACATATGTTGGGGCTGTGTCAGATATTCCTGGAGATGTCAGAGAGTGCTGGGGCAAAGTGTCCTAGGTTCCTGTTAGGCATTTTGTAGAGTGCTGGGCTGTGCTCAGGTATTTAGAACATACTGGACCATGTGGGAGACATGTCAAGGCATGCTGGGACATGTTGTGCCATGTTAGGGTGCATCTGAGCATGTAGGGATGTGTCTATGGGTTCTGCCTTTGCTCTACTCTGTGCTGCAGCCTGGTCTGGTCCCCCCTCCTTCCTGTTTCCTCTGCCCTTGGCCCCATTTCTGCTATGCTGGGCTTGGAAAGGAAATGTAGACTCCTGGCTGGGAGCACCCATCCTCCCCCGAAAGTCCCTCCCCTCCCTCTCTCCATGGCCCCTGATGTTCTGTCTCTCATGTCAGCCACCGTCGTACCCAAGGATATGTTTTTCTACAGCTTCCTGAAGCCCTGGCTGGGTGAGTAACTGTGAGTGAAGGGGGCTGGGGACACCTCTGGGCCCAGGGGAAGAGGCTGCCCTTTCTCACTCCCCGTGGCTGCCTCTGCTAGGGGATGGGCTCCTGCTAAGTGCCGGTGACAAGTGGAGCCACCATCGCCGCCTGCTGACACCTGCCTTCCACTTTGACATCTTGAAGCCGTATATGAAGATTTTCAACAAGAGTGCAGACATCATGCATGTGAGTTTCTTGAGCCCCTCTGGAGCCCTGGGAAAGGAGGAGTGGCCTCGGACACATATGGTCTAGAATCTTGGCTCTGCTGGAGGGCTTTGGGGGTCACTGATTTTCCTCTCCAAGCCTCAGTTTCCTCATCTGTAAAACCAGGATAATAATCCGTTCTTAAAGGATGATCAAGATGATGTAATGGAGTCATATTCTTGGCACACAGTAGATGCTCAGAAGGCTTTAGTTTCTAGTATACCTCATGAAACTCTAAATTCAAAACAGTAAGCTTGAAGATTGCATAGTGGTTTTTTCTGCATTATATACCACCTTAAAACTCATGGACTTGAATTAGCGTTTATTACTGTTCATGAGATGATGAGTCAGTTGAATTGTTCCTGCATCTTGGCTGGAATCACTCACATGTCCATGGTCATGGATGGGTTTGGTAGACAGCTCTGCTGCACCAGCTTCAGCTCTGACACACGTTTGGGGCTTGGCCAGCTGTCAGTTGGTCTAGGATGGCTTTGGTGGGACAATGGACTCCTGTATTTGTCCCTCATCCTCCAGTAGGCTCGCCTGGGCTCAAATGAATGGTGAAGACTGGGCTCCAAGACAGCGGGCAGAAATGCGCAGTACCTCTTGCAGACTAGTTTCAGATCTAGCACCCTGTGGATATACCTTCTGTTGACTGAAGCAAGTCTCATGCTCAGCTCAGATTCAAGAGGTGGAGACAGAGGTTCCACCTCCTGATGAAAGAGCTGCAAAATCTCATTGCAAAGAGTGAGGGTATAGGGAGGGACGAAGGAACGAGGACATGTTTGCTGTTGTCTACCACTGTGATACTGATGAAGAGGATGATGGCAGCTAACAATTACTTAGCACTTACTGCATATCAGAAACAGTGTGCCACTTCCATGGCATATGCTGTCTAACTTAATTTTCACAGCCCTATGTGTAAGAGTGGATTATAGTTGCCATATTATAGATGATGGAGTGAAAGATCAGACAGGTTAGAGAGCTTGCCCAAGATCACACATTAGTAAGTGAGCTATGTGTGATGGAGCAGGAATTTTAATTTGGTTTGCCCAACATCAATGCAGGTCATCTTAACTGTTACTGAAAATTTGACAGTGGAAAAGCCCAGTGGAAAGCAATGAGATGACCAAAGGCACACAGAGCATAGGAGGCAGATCTGGACCTTCAACCCAGGTCTCCTGACTCCCAGCTGTAGGCTCTTCCTGTCTTGATAGTAACAGCTTCCAGTCCCACTCAAGCCTGGTCTTCCCTGGGGATGGGTGTCTAGGGTAAGAGGACCAAGATTTGGGGGCTAAGGGAGTCCATCTAGGTGGTTGAGGTTGGGGAGAGACTCAGAGGAGGGAGGTCTCAGCCCCAGCTCTGCTCTCTTCTCTGTCTAGGCCAAATGGCAGCGCCTGGCCTCAGAGGGCAACACTCGTCTGGACATGTTTGAACACATCAGCCTCATGACCCTGGACAGTCTGCAGAAATGTGTCTTCAGCTTCGACAGCAATTGCCAAGAGTGAGTGTCAGCCCAGGGCCTGGGAACATAAGCCATAGACCCAAGGGAGTAGATGGGGGAGGGAGGACTGACCAGGGCAATCAGAAGGGCCTTCCTGGAGGAGGTGGGTCAGAGCTGGACATAGAAGGACAGAGAAGGGAAAGAGAAGGAGCGATCCTTTCCAGTAGGCAGAAATGTTTGATAAAGGCCAGGGGGCTAGGATGAGCAAGGTGTGTGCAACAGTGTGGAGACGCCTTGGATGTGAAGTTGGAGGAGTGCCAAAGAGGACATGAACTTTATCCTGAGGTTTCCAGGGAGCCATGGAAGGTGTTTGAGCAGATGAGGGTCATGGTCAAAGCTGAACTTGGTCATGTGACTTGAGAGAAGACTGGCTGGTGTGTAGACACAGGAGGCAAGGAGACCACAGAGAGGAGGAATCTTGAGCTTGGTGGAGAAAATGGGGCAGGTTTGGGAGAAACTGAGGAAGAATGGCAGGGCTAGATATTGTGTAGGAGAGAGGAAAGATGAGCATGATACCCAAGCTCTGCCCTGTGGTCTAGGACATGTGGCAGCTCACAGAGATGGGAGGCAGAGAGAGAAGCATGATTGGAGGACACTCTTTTCTGGATGGCATGTGGTCCTGGTTACTGGCTGGCAGGTGCTCCCAAGGTTCCCTGTGTGTTAAGAGGTTGCTTCCTAAGGCTCTCTCTGGTTGGACCCTGTAGGAAACCCAGCGAATATATTGCCGCCATCTTGGAGCTCAGTGCCCTTGTGACAAAAAGGACCCACCAGATCTTCCTGCACATGGACTTCCTGTACTACCTCACCCCTGACGGGCAGCGCTTCCGGAGGGCCTGCAACCTAGTGCACGACTTCACAGATGCCGTCATCCAGGAGCGGCGCCGCACCCTCACTAGTCAGGGTTCCCATGACTTGCTTCAGGCCAAGGCTAAGACCAAGACTTTGGACTTCATTGATGTGCTCCTGCTGGCCAAGGTCAGCTTCTCTGGGATCTAAATTCAAGAAGTAGACTGGGCCTTGAATTCCAATTTTAGATCAAAGAACTTGGACTTGATCCAGAGAGTGCTAGGGAGTCATAGAGGGTGCTTGAGGAAGGGAGGGGACAGGTCAGAGATAAGTTTTTGACAGGACTGTGCAGAAGGCTGCCTGGAAGGAGTAAACAGGAAGAAGGAGACCAGGGAGGGGGCCTGTGAGCTGGGCTCTGGAGATGAAGAGGGAAGGATCCTGCTTGGATGATGGAGCTTCAGGGACAATTTCAGGCTAGACTCAGGTGTCCTTAGAGCTGGTGTGATTTTGGGGATCTTGCTTCCTGTCCAGGATGAAGATGGGAAGGAACTGTCAGATGAGGACATCCGAGCCGAGGCTGACACCTTCATGTTTGAGGGTGAGTGTCCCAATGTGGGATTACAGAAGAGGCCAGGGTCTCTTCATCCCAGGGACTTGGTGCGTGGGCCCTGGATCATCCCATCTCGCCCAACCCTTCCCATTTCCTTGTGGGAGGGCCTTAATGGAGGGTGCTGTCCATCCTCTGATGCTAAAGTAGACCCACGCCTGTCTGTCTGCTCCTCAGGCCATGACACCACAGCCAGCGGCCTCTCCTGGATCCTCTACAACCTTGCAAAGCACCCTGAATACCAGGAGCGCTGCCGGCAGGAGGTGCAAGAACTCCTGAGGGACCGTGAGCCTAAAGAGATTGAATGGTGAGTGCAAGTCCTCATGGCCTTTTTCTGAGCCCCTCTCATGGGCTCTGCTCCCTGGCTGGGGAAGTAGAAAGATCTCTTTGTTGATTCTGTCATTATTGCTTAGTAGGAATAGGAGCAGAGCCCAGAGGCAGGGGCTGGTACCTAGTCTGAATAGCTGGGGAAAGTTTGCAGGCTTCTGGGATAGAAAGATCTAAGTGTCCGCATGAATGCTGCACTGACTTGCTATGTGACTTTAATAAAAACCAATTCCCTTTTCTGAATACCGCTTTTCTCTTCTATGGGGGTTGGGTGGGGTGAGGATCTCTCCCTTACAGTGCCACTTGGAGAACTGTGACAATGTGTGTAGAGCAGATGCCATCTAGTACATGTTCAGTATATAAACTTCTTCTCACCTCCCTTGCTTTTCTCCCTGAAGTTGCATTTTCTCCAGCAAAGACCCTTATTTCTCTTAATTTTTGCTCTTTTCTCTAATTCTTACCTAAGAGTCTACTCCAGGGATTCACAAGAGATCTTTGGGGGTAAAAAATTCTATCCATCTTTTTGTTGAGTAAACATGTCTATACTGCTCCTTTCCCAACTCACGGTCTAGTTCCATTCAAGTCCTACATGGACAAGGCTGGGCCAGAGAGGAAAGGAGGTGAGGACTGATAGTGAAGCACTGAACATGAATTCACCACCCTGAATGTGGGTAGTGGACAGTGGCCAGGCCAAGGGGGCAGCTTGTGCAAAGGCCAGGATGGAAGCATGCAGGAGTGAGCCTGAAATGTCTGGGATGGGGTAAAGGTGGCTGGATCCTTGTGAAATATACAGTGTGAGGATCAGAGAGGCCCCCAGTAAAGCTGGAGCTGTTAATGGAAGCCCTTCTTGGAGTGCTTTGGAAACCACGTTAAAAGTTTTCAAAGGTGTCAGTTCAAGTCCTTTGGGGAGCCAATACTGAATAAAAGATAGACGTGGCAGGGATGCTGCCATGAGGAGTGTGTAACACTGGACAGAAATGGTCAGGCAGAAGAGGCCCACTGTGTTCAGTCTTTGACTACGGGCTGCCCAGGAAAGTGTGGCCTTGGCTTGAAGTCTGTGGCAGAACCCAGAGGCCCTATAGCTGGAGGTGGTCAGCTAATTGCACTCCTTGCAGCTATATGGCAAGTTCTTTCTTGAAGGGAGATCTATGACTAACATTGGAGGGCAATGGGGAGCCATGGGAGATGTTTGAGTAGGGGAGAGGCAGGGCAGATATGAATGTTAGAAATATCTCCTTGCAGCTACAGGGGCAAACTGGAGGGGGTGAGCTGCAGTCTGAGGGTCCAGAGGGGAAGGTTCTGGGCCAAGGACTGAAGGATGGAGAGGAAGTGTTGGACTGGACAAACATTTTAGAGATAGTGCCCTCAACTTCAAGGCTTTGCTCGGCACAGCAGTCCTGTGAGGTAGAAAAATTTTTTTTGATTCTCCCAACTTCAAAAAATTATGCACTCGGTAAAAATCCAAATAGTACAATGGACTTTACAACGAAGCCTCCTCCCACGCCCAGATTTATTGAGAAATAATTGACATATAACATTATGTAAGTTTAAGGTGTACAACATGATGATTTGATATATGTATATATTGTAAAATGATCACGATAAACTTAGTTAATACATCCATCACCTCACATAAGCCTCTGTCATGCCAGTATCCTAAACCCATTCCCTTCCTTCAATGGTTTCCTCTGTCCTTCCAGACCTTGTTCAGTCTATACCTACATTTATCGGTTCAGTCTCTCTCACCTTATTCATTCTGTCTTGTCTCTCTACAACTGAGAGTATATGCAGAGCATTCATGCATGCATGTTGACAAGATAACTTCAAGTTCCTTTCTTAAGTTTCAGAAAATTAAATTTGAATTGCAAAGTCAATAATGAGAATGGTTTTTTTCTTTTGACACAACATGAAACATCCTGCATCACATTAGGTTATTACAGTTTAATATAAATACAGACACATTTGGTCACTTGTTCTTTTCACTCAATAATCTGTCTCAGCAGTCCTTCTCACTGAGGGTAAATAGCATTGCTTTATTTACCTAGGATGCTTCTGTTGGGGACATTTATGTAAACATTTTCAATTATAACAGATATTGCCAAATTGCCTTTTAGCATCTCTGTATTGATTTACCCTGCAGGGTGTGATGGACTAGTTGATCTCTATATTTCCCCTTTTGATAGCTGTATAGTATTCCATCATATGGATAGACCATAATTTCTCTAAATATTCCCCTATCAATGGACATTTGTATAGTTTCCAGCCTTTTGCTATAATAAACATGATGTAGTGAAAATCTATTTAGCTTATATGTATGAATGTCTCTCTAGGACACATTCCTAGAAGTGGTGTTATGGATCAAAGACCATTTGAGTTTTACAATTTAATAGCTCTTGGAAAATCTGCTCCTACAAACAGATTTTGAGAGTGTCAATTTCTTTGTATCTTCACTGATAGCATGCATTATAAAACATAAAAATTTGCCATTCTGCTAGGTGAAATATAATACTTTGTTACTTTAGTAAACAGTACTTTAAGTATGAGTAAAGTTGATTACCATTTTCACATTTTAAACAACCATGCATGTTTCTTTTTCTGTGGAGTTTCAGTTCGCTAAATTTGTCTTTTTTACTTTGAGGTTTTTTTCTAGTTTTTTTTTCCTTACTGACTCATTTAAGTATAAAGAAATTATATTTCTTTAAATATAAAGAAAATTAGTTCTTTTCTGTTATGCAAGAATTAGTCCCCAGATTGTCTTTTGACTTTATTTTCATTTTGGTTCATTTATTTGTAGTCAAATTTATTAATTTTTGTCTTTTACAGTTTCTGTGTCTTTTTAAAAATCATTCTTGGAAAAGCCTTTCATACTGTGAGATTAAAATGTAAAACTCTTGTTTGTTTTCCTCTAATGGATATATTTATTTAAAAAAGATTTTATAAAAAATTTAATTTTATTTATTTAATTTTTTATTGTTTTAAAATATTTAATCCTTTGTTCCATATGAAATCTATACTGATATAAGTACTGAAGTAGGCATCTATTTTTTTTCTCCAAATAGCTACCTAATCGTCCCAGCAGAATTTAAGTGAATATTTTGTATTTGTCTTAGGATTCTAAATAATAGCTTCACAATAAACTACATTTATTTATATGTTTGGGTCTATTTCTGAACTCTATTCTGTTCTATTTAGTTATATATTAATACATAAGCACCAAGCAGTCTTCATTTACCATACTTTAAAAAACATTTTCATATGTGACAAAGTTGGTCAGTCCTACCTCACTGCACAGCTTTTACAATTTTTCTCTTGCATCCTTGTTTTTCCATTTGAATCCTCAGGATCAGTTTGGGTAGTTCAAAATATATTCTTGAAATTTTTAATTAATTAGGATTTTGGACCTCAGTTGTCAAGGATGGAGTTGATTGTGCTCCTCGACACATGATTAATTGTCATCATTTTCCCATTCAAAACTTATTCATTTCCAGTCATCCCAAATCTTCACGTCCAGTCCTCCAACGATGTGATTCTAGAGAGCCCAGTCCTTTTGTTTGTATAATTTGTTGTTCTGAGTGGATGCATTTTAAAATTCACAATTATGTATTACATCACAGATTTCATGATGGTTCTTACCCTTTTCAGAAATGTAGCGCTATGATTTTATTAGACATCCATGGTTCCACGTCCATTTAGATAATTACTTTGAAGCATCATAAACTTTCCTCTCCAATCCCTTAGTGCTGGATATCCAGGCTGCTTCCATCTCATCACTGCAATGAATGTCTTTGTGTATGTGACTTTATTCACCTGTCTGAGAATCTCTCTGGGATAGAAACCCAGGAGCCAGCTTGCTGGACTGTAAATCACACATTGCCTTTCCTTGACCACGCTGATGTCCTCCCGTGTGGTGGTCCCTGTCCACACCTCCACATATCAGTGCATATCACTCTACCCCACACCCCAGCCACTCCTTACCAGTACCCACCTTGTTAATTCTCACCCCGAATAGATGTGAAGTAACATCTCACTGCTATCAAATTTCCATTTCTCTGATAATCAGTGACTTTGAGCATCTCTTCATGTTTGAAATCTCCATTTGAAATTCCATGAATTCCTAGATGGTGTCCTCTGCCTACTTTTCGCTTAGAGACCTGTCCTCTCTCTTGTTGATTTGCAGAAACTCCTTGTATATTCAAGATAATTGTTCTAATATCTGAACATTTATTGCAGATATCTCATCTGAATGTTAATTTGGTCCATGGTGTCTTTTATTAAAAAGAAATCCTTACTTCTGTGCATATTTATTCATTTCTTTTTGTCTTCCAGCTTGTGCTTTTGGGGTTTTAAGGATTCTTTCCTACTCCTAAATCACGGAGATGCTTCCTACATTATCTTTTTTTTAACTTTATGGTTTTACCTGTCACATGTAAGAGGGGACACTACTTTGTATATGGAGTAGATGAGGATTTGGGTTTTTTTTATTTCTACATCACCAGTTATCTGCATACCTTCTACCAAACTATCCATCTGCTGCCCAGGGTTTTCTAGGGCTTCTTTGCCAGATGATGTTCTTACATATTCATGTACCATCTTCGAGCTCTCTCTCTCCCCATGGGTCTGTTTTCCTGTTCTTGCAACAATACCACGCTTGGTTTTTTTTTTTTTCATTACTACACTTTTGTAGTAGGTCTTACTATCTGGTAGATTGGATTCTTCTTTGATCTTGTATTTTCATATTGACCTAGTTCTTGATGAACTTTAATTCAAATTGAGTAAGATTACTAAGTTCCCCCTGCCCACCCAAAGAAACCAAACTAAAATTTTTATTGGATTACATTGAATATGTTGATTAATTTAGAAAGAACTGACACCTTAATAATATTAGGTCATCTCACCCTAGATTGTGGAGTAGATCTTACTCATTCCAATAACCTTATAAGTCCATGACAGAGATTCTTTTTTTCATTTTAAGCTATTTATATAATTCAAAAAGCTTTTAAATGCAAATATATTAACACTTCAAAGGATACCCTCTGAAATGTTGTGTTTTGCTCAGAAATGCTTCTAAAAATACCAGGCTGTTTTCTTCTAGTAACTTCTGTGGTTTTGATATTCTAATGCCTAAATCTTTGATCCATCTGGAATTGATTTTGTTATAGGAGTGAGGGACAGAGGGAGGCAGAGAGAGGGTCTCACAGGGCAGCAGAAGGGCTTGGTGGGGGGAGTCTCTGTTTTTGCCCCTGGATAATTGTCATGGGGGTTCCTTAGGGATGACCTGACCCAGTTGCCTTTCCTGACCATGTGCATCAAGGAGAGTCTGCGGTTGCATCCTCCAGTCACAGTCATCTCCCGCTGCTGTACCCAGGACATTGTGCTACCAGATGGCCGGGTCATCCCCAAAGGTACCCAAAATGACAAGGGGAGGAAGGTGATGGCCCTATCAGCTGAGACCTTGTCCTGACTGTCCTCTCCTCCCCAACAGGGAACATCTGTGTCATCAGCATCTTTGGGATTCATCACAACCCGTCAGTCTGGCCGGACCCTGAAGTGCGTCCACCACAGGGGAAATCAGACATTCCCCCCTCCACTCTATCCACATCTGTCTTTTTTAGGGGTGTCTGGGTATCCTGAGAAAGCCCACCCAGCAGCCCAGCCTCTCTCTGCCTCCAGGTATACAATCCCTTTCGCTTTGATCCAGAAACCCCCCTGAAGAGATCACCTCTGGCTTTTATTCCCTTTTCAGCGGGGCCCAGGTAAGGCCAGCGCGTGTGTGAGGCGGGGTTGGGGTGAGGATGGTAGTGGGTCTCAGGGAACATGGAAGCCCACCTAGGGGTCTCAGGCACGGTTAGACTCCTTCTCTAACCCTGCAGAAGGGGGTGGGTGTCCCAGATGGTTTCTGGGCATGACGAGACCTGATGGGGTCCCAGGTGCAGTCATCCCCCATCCTGCCACAGGAACTGCATTGGGCAGACGTTTGCCATGACTGAGATGAAGGTGGTCCTAGCGCTCACGCTGCTGCGCTTCCGCGTCCTGCCGGATGAGGAGGAGCCGCGCAGGTTGCCGGAGCTGATCCTGCGCGCAGAGGGCGGACTTTGGCTGCGGGTGGAGCCACTGAGCGCAGGACAGCAATGATCCACTACCTCCTGGCCTGGGATCCACGCTGACATGAAACACCTCACTTTGCAGATTCCTAGGAATAAAACTGTGCTGTCACCCCTGCCTGAGCCTCGTCTAGAACCAGCAGGGGGCCCTTGGGGCCTGTGAGGATCCAGGGTGGTGGCGTGGCCTGTGAGGATCCAGGGAGTGAACCTGGGGGACGGGGTAGTGGGGGATTGATGTGGAGCTGAAGCTCCATCTTGTCCTTGTCCACGAGGACAAGACTACTTTTTAGGGAAGATGAAACAGAGAGCTAGATGCAGTCAGGGTCAGATGACCCTGGATCCACCATTCCCTGCAGTTATACCACCAAGGTCACCATCCCAGTCTGCCATCTACTAGCTGTTCGGCTTAGGGGAAATCGTTTACCTCTCTAAGCCTCAGTTCCTTTATCACATAATAGTAGCCACCTTATTGTGCTGTTGTGGAGTTGAATAAGCAAGCATGCGCAAAATGACTGATTCTGTATCTGGTAAGCATCAGTACTCAATAAGAGTTAATTTCCTCCCTACTTTTTGCACCACTTTCTCAAATTTAAAATGTTTTAAAGTCACAAAAGTTATATTTAAGTTTCGGGAAGTGTAGGAACTTACTGTTGAAGAAAACTATCATTAGAAGATTCAGTAAATTCAAAATCTCCACAGTTACATCTGTTAATAGTTGCAAGGGGGTTTGATGTGAAGATAGCCTGAAAAAAACATTTTTCCCCCTCAGAGAGGCAGGACTTCATTTTCACCTAGATGTTCTAGGAAGTGGAGGTCAAGAGGGTACACAATAGTGAGAGGAAGGTGGAGGAGGGTGGTGGGAGATGGGGAGGCAGGTTGGGGGCCCTTCAGCACCAGGGACAGTGGTTGCCCTAGGACTCTCCCCGTTCAGGCCGTTGGGGGTCCTGGGATAGAGTCCTAGCCTCAGAGCTTTTCAGGAGCCTAGAGGTTAGGGGCCAGAAGACTTACTGGCTGCAAAATAAGAAAGAAACCCTGTAACATGCAATGAATAAATATTTAATATATTCTAAGATGAAAACCCCATTTGTTTTTCTTTGCCTTCAGAGTTCTTATTTAAAATGTTTTTCTTTTCCTTCAAATGATACCTCGTCATAGAAGAAAATGCAAATAATAAAAAGTAAAAAATACAACCATATCCATAATCCAAACACGTCAAACTAATCACCGTCCATATTCTCTCCCATATAATGCCAAATTTTAAATTTATATGTAATCCTTATACAAGTAAAATTTTGAATTTACATCTAAATGTATTACACTTACATGTAATCTCCTTTTTTAAAAATGCTATTTTACTGACTAACAAGCACATGGAAAGATGCTCAACATCATTAGTCCTTAGGGAAATGCAGATCAATGCCACAGTGTGATACCACTTCACATCTACTAGGATGGCAAGAATACAAAAAATGGAAAATAACAAGTGTTGGTGAGGACATGGGGTAATTGGAATTCTCACACATTGCTGTTGGAAATGTAAAATGGTGTGACCACTGTGGAAAACAGTCTGGTGTTTCCTCAATAAATTAAACCTAGAATTACCCTGTGACCCAGCAATCCCACACCAAGGTATGTACCCAAAAGAATTGAAAACAGGTGTTCAAACAAAAACTTGTACACTTGTAAATATCCATTAACAGATGAATGGGTAAATAGGATGTGGTATATCTTAACAAGGACGATAACTGAGTCATAAAAAAGAATGAAGAATGGAGACATGTAACATGGATGAACTTTGAAAGCATTATGTTAAGTAAAAAGAGTCAGACACAGAAAGTCACATATTATATGATTTTATTTACATGAAATGTGCAGAACAGGCAAATCCATAGAGATAGTTCCAAGAGCTGGAGGGTGGGGAGGGAAATAGAGAATGACTGCTAATGGGTATGATGTTTCCTTTTCAGGTGATGCAAATATCTTGGAACTAGATAGAGGTGATGGTTGCATATACTGTGAATGTATTAGATGCAAGGAATCAAACAGTTTATAATAGTCAAAGTGGTGAATTTTATGTTATGTGAATTTTACCTCAATCAAAGAAATGCTATTTTATCATACACTTTTCTTGTTAATCTGGGCTTTTCATATAATAATATATCGTGAACCTCCTTCCACAACATAAAATCATCATCTTGGGTTTTTTTTAAACCTTTACGTGTTAAGTATTCAAGCCACTCTTTATTTTTTTTAAATGACATTATGTTAGAAAATAATTTAGTTTGTCTCACTTTGCAAGAATTATCTTTATTCACCTTGATGGCTTGAGATATCACTGCCAATGATAAATTGAGTTACTTTAAATCAAATAACTTTTGGTGTAGAAAATTCATTTTTAAAAATTATTTATTTTTTTAATCTGGGGGTCAATTAGGTTTATTTATTTATTTATTTAATCTTTTTTTTTTTTTTAGTGGAGATACTGACAATTGAACCCAGGACCTCTTGCATGCTAAGCGCACACTCTACCACTGAGCTATACCCACCCCCTAGAAATTTCATTTTTATAACAATAGATACACATACACTCATGTAAGATGTGAGTGTGCTTAAACACTTTCCATTCAACACTTAAGTCCTGATGACTCCATAGACATTGATGTTTTTAGTCCTATTAACAGAAGTAGACCATTGGAAAGGAGAAGGTGATGACACTTCAGGTCCCCCAGGTAAACAATGATTTCATCCTCACACCAGTATTATGCATTGGAGAGATTTACTTAACCAAGGTCGCTCAGCTGATGAGTGGTGGGGTAGAGGTAAGTTTGGTCAGCTTGTTTTCAGAGGTCATGCCTTACCTTCCAGAGAAATGATCTTCAAGGTGTGTTTCAGCCCGAGGTACATCAGATCACCTGGAGAACACCTGCGGGCTTACCAGATGAGACTCTTTGGTGGGTGGTGCCTAAATTTTTATATGGAATACTTTTGACAGGAAATACATTCACTCATGTAAAAAATAAAATGCACAGTGAAAAATAGTCATCTTCCATAGGTCCTTCATTTTCCCAGTTTTCTCATCTTTAGGTAAGCACTTTGTGCATATCATTTCATAGTGTATTTATCCAGATAATATATGTGCTTAGTTACCCTCTGCCTCATCTTAAAACTCTGTGTACATTTAGAAAATTTTCAAAAAAGTAAGGTTTTCTGTATTTGGTGTAGACGTTCTGAGTTTTGGCAAATGCCTAGAGTTGTGTAACCACCACTAAAATTGTCACCCTTGGTAGTCAAAAGCCTTTCAGCCTAACTACTGCCAAACACTGATCCATTCTCCACCCCTATAGTCTGGCTTCTTTCACTTAACAATGCATTTATGATTCATCCATGTTGTCTGCATTAATACTTTGTTTCTTTTTATTGTTAAGTAACATTCCATAGTATGGATGGGCCATGTTTTCTTCATCATTTGGAGGATGTGTGGATTGTTTTCAGTTTTGTGCTGTACTGAACAAAGCTACTATGAATATTTGTGTACAGATGTTCATTGCTATAATCACCATATTGTACATTAGATTCCCAAACTTGTTAATCTTATAAATGAACACTTTGACCAATATCTCCCCATGTCTCCCACTCCCCCAAACCCTGGTAACCACCACTCTACTCTTTGTTTCTTTGCATTTGTCTTTTTTAGGTTCCACATGTAAGTGATATCATACAGTACACTTCTCCCTCGGTATCTGTGGGGGTGGTAGGAGATTGGTTCCAGGACTCCCCGTGGATACTAAAATCCAGGGATGCTCAAGTCCCTCATATAAAATGGTGTGGTATTTGCATTTAACTTATGCATTTTCTCCTGTATGATTTAAATAATCTCTAGATTACTCATAATACCTAGTTAAAGGTAAATGTTATGTAAATAGTAGCTGGTGTGCAGAAAATCCAAGTTTTGCTTTTTGAAGTTTCCCTCCTTGTATATTCTTAATCCACAGTTGGTTGAATCTGCGGATGCAGAACCCACAGACATGGAGGGCTGCCTGTGTTTGTCTTTCTCTAGCTTGTTGCACTTAGCATAATGTCCTCAAGGTCCATCCACATTGTCACAAACGAGCGGGTTTTCTTTCTTTCTCATGGCTGAATAACAGTCCATTGTACATGTTTACCACATCTTCACCCACTGAAGGACACTTAGGTTGTTTCCATATCTTGGCTGTTATGAATAATGTTTCAGTGAACATGGGAGTGCAGATATCTCTATGAGATCCTGGTTTCAGTTTTCCTGGATTATATGGTTATATGTTGTCTTATTTTTAATTTTTTGAGAGATCTCCATACTGTTTTCTGAAGGTGTCTGTGTCTTTTGAAATTTCTGTCATTAATGTATGAGAGTTCTAGTTGATCCACATACTAACTGGCAGTGTCAGTTTTCCCCCAGCCGTTCTTACTGGTGTGCAATGATATATGACCATGATTTTAGTTTGCATTTCCTAATGACTACGATGTTGAACATTTTTTCTTGTGCCTTTTTGCCATTCATATATTTTCTTTGGTAAAGTACCTGGTCATATCTTTCCCCCATTAATTTTCTTTGGATTATTTACCTTCTGATTGTTGAATTTTAAGAGTTCTTTATATATTTTGCATACAAGTCCTTTGTGATTTGCAAGCCTTTTTTCCTAGTGTGTGGCAGATCTTTACCTTATCTTAAATTTATTTCACAGAGCAAAATTTTAAAATTTTTGTAAAGTGCAATTTATCAAGTTTTCACGATCATGCTTATGGTGTTGTATATAAGAATTCTTTGTCTAACCTAAGGCCACAAAGATTCTCTTCCTTTTTTCTTCTAAAAGTTTTACATTTTTGCATCATTTAGTTCTATGATCCATATTAAGTAAAATTTTGTATATGGTGAGGTATGGGTTTGGCTTTTTGTTGTTGTTGTTGCATATAGATATCCAATTTTTCCAGTACCATTTATTGAAAAGACTATCCTTGTGCATTGACCTGCCCTGCATGTTTTGTTTTGTTTTGTTTTTTAATACAGAATCTCTTCTGTTCCATTGATTTCTGTGTCTAGTCTTTGGCCAATACCACACTATTATGATTCCTATTGTTTTATAGCATGTCTTGAAAGGGGTATTGTAAATCCTTCAGCTACATTTTTCCTTTTCAGAAAAATTTTGACTATTCTAAGTCCTTTGCATTTTCATGTAAATTTTATCATCAGCTTATCTACTTCTACAAAAAGTCCTCCTCTGATTGTGATTTCTTAGAATCTGTAGATCAGTTTGAGGAGACTTAACATCTTAACAATATTGAGTCTTTTTGGGGGGATGCAGTAATTAGGTTTATTTTATTTTTATTTTTATTAATTTATTTTTAAAATGGAGGTACTTGGGATTGAGCCCAGAATCTCATGCATGCTAAGCATGTGCTCTACCACTGAGCTATACCCTCCCCTCCTTGAGTCTTCCACTCCATGAACATTGTATACCTCTACATTAATTTGGGTCTTCTTGGATTTCTTTCACTGGTGTCCTGAAGTTCCATCATAGAAATCATGCACGTATTTTGTTAAGCCTATACCTGAGTATTTCACTTTTTGTGGTGTATGATACTTGAAAAATGATATTTGAAAACATCTTCCAATTGTTTGTTGCTAGTGTACAGCAGGGTTGGCAGACTTTTTCTGTAAAGACCTATATAGTAAATATTTTAGGCCTTGCATACCATGTTCAGAATCTCTTCCTCCTCTTCTTCCCACTCCTTTATAATCCTTTAAAAATATAAAACAATTCTTTGTTTATGTATCTTACAAAGACAGGCAAGAGGCCATATCTAGTACATAGCCCAAATAGTTCACTGACCCCTGGAATATAGAAATAAAATTAATTTTTTTATATTGACCATGTATCCTGAAGCCTATTGGATCACTCTCACTGGAATACAAATAATGCTGTATTATTTCAATTAAAAAAAAAACCTACCCTTGTCCCCACTTTCCCCCCAGTTAATGCATCATTTCTTTCCCCCACCATGAAGAAAGTCCCTTCAAGAGTTATCTATAC